TATGTCTTATAGGGTTTATACTGAGTACAATATTGTATAACTGTAATAATTCAACTGTAAACCTAAAAATTTACAGCCAATTTTGAAAGAGATGCATCCTACCTCAGGAAACCGTTATTGAATATGTCAATTGTGTTGCAATGATATGCTTCTAAGTATGTTGTTATTAAATAAATCATTTTTAAAAATTAAAAAAAAAAATCCTGAGGAGGGGCTGGAATTGATTGGTCCGCTTTAGGTCCCACCCCCGTGCCAACCTGGGAAAGGTGAAAATACAGGTTCTTGGGCTGTAACACAGCAGAGGCCCATGGTAATAAAGCCTGGAAACTGTTTTATGAAAGATTCTTGGGTGGTAAGCCAGCTTCAGCCTCTTTCTTTGCTTACTGATGCCTATCAAGAAACCCTGGGGACATTTAAAGACTCAAGTGTCACCCCTGAGGATTCTTACTCAGGTCTCAACTGTGGATATCTCTGGTTTGACCTTTGAACTTGGTTCTGGCCTTGAGACCTATTGCTCCAAGGCCTCGCACTCCCTACCCATCCCTAGACACTGCACAAATAATTTTGTATATGCTGGGGCCTGTTTTACTGGAGAGAGGGGCTAAAGTTGTCCTAAGATTCTCTAAGCATACAAGCCTGAAAACTCTTGAGGATACAGCTGTGGACAAATGAAATGGATGAATCAAGCATGCTTACCTGTGCAGACAGCATCCTGCACTTACTCTGACCACATCTCTTTCCTTGTTTCACAGGGACTGTGCCAACACTTTGCTGGGGGAAAAAAAAACACAATGCTATGTCCAGTGGTACCCTGGGTCTGTTATCTCCACACAGTCTTAACTTTATAGCCCATCAGAGGCTCCTCACTGAGTCACTTTCTTTTCCTAAGTCATCTACTTAATATTCAGGTCTTCAATTGCCTTGGTAATTGATGGAGAGCTTAAGATTCCTGTTTATTTTGCTCTCAGAAGCAGAGGGCTGAGTTAATCATTCTCTCCAGTTCATGACACACTTTATCATTGGCTTTGCACAGCCCCAACTCACACATCTATTCTTGCATGCTTTTTTCCCATTCTTTCTTCTTTCTCATAGACAACCATCCAAATATGTTCAGTCTATGTTATAACCATCCATGCTCCATCAAAAATGTAGTGCTGGGGGCTGGAGAGATGGCTCAGCAGTTAAGAGCACTGGCTGATCTTGCAGAGCACCCAGGTTCAGTTCCCAGCACCCATATGACGGCTAACAATTGTCCATAACTCCAGGTCCAGGGGATCCGACGCCCTCTTCTGGCATCTACGGACATTGCACGACATGGATGTACTCACATTCACGCACGCAAAACACTCAGAGACATAAAAATTTAAAAAACTAAAAAATATGGTGCTTAAGGTACATATGATAATTGAACACAAAAAACCCCCATGGATCAGCTCACTCACTGTCTCTCCCACCCTCACCCTCCCTCCCCTTCTATCTTTTCTCCCCTCCCTTCCTCCCTTCCTCTTTTCTTTCCTTCCTCCATTTTTTCTTTTTTCTTTTCTTTTTCTTTTTTGGCAGTTCTGGGGCTGGAACCCCAGGCTTCAGGCAGGGTAAGAAACCATTCTACCACTAAGCTGCATCTCCAGTCCAACTGCTTGCTTTCTTGACTCAGTATCCTGTTTTAAAGACTATTCCTGCTGCCACGTGTATGTGGTGGGTGTTCCCTCTGACTCTGGCAGAGTGTCTTAGGGCATGCTGTCTCTGCTTGTGCCTGCCCCATGGCTGGATACCTTTTGTCACAAACAGACCTACCTGCAGGGAGCCCCTTCATGCATGGTGCCTTAGGACATGCAGGGGAATTGCTCCAGGATGAGCCTAGGGGTGACATTGTTGAACCACAGAAGACAGGAACATTTAAGTTGACAAAGTTCTGCACTCCAAAATGGCTGTGCCCATCTACAAACCCTCAGTCAGCTTAGGAATTCCCATAGTCCCACGTGCCAGCCACCGCTTGGTAATAATCAACTTCCCCATTTTGGCCACTGAGCAGGTACACACAATACCAGTGTTACATAACTTGAAATTCTGCAAGTCTGTGCATATGACCATCTCTCCCATGCTTGTTACTTGAGGGTTTCCCTTCCTGTGAGCTTCCTTTCCAATTTTTTGTTTCATTGAGAAGAGGTGGGGGGTGGGGTAGGTTAACTTTTCTGATTTTGTTTGTTTGTTTGTTTGTGGTATTGGAGACGGAACTCCGGGCTCCTGTACACTGACCTCCACCTCCAGAGAACCCTGTCACTGACTTGCAGGGTTATTGTTTATTTAGATGTCACCCCTAGTCAATCTCGACACTGCCTGTGTCTCTCTCTGAGTATCCCCTAACAATTCAATCTTTAGTCGATGAACTCTTTCCTTGGGATGAATTCAAGTTTGTCAACTCTGACCCCTGTGAGACTTTGTGTCAGACGTGCTTCCCACCTCTGGGTTACCAGGGTCCTCCCTGGAGACAATCACAGTCATTCTGTGCATGACAACTCTGGATCATGTGTCACTGCGGTGAACCTGCACCTTGGATTCCAGCACAGCCCTAGAATCTGCACACTGTCAGCCTGAGTCCAAACCCTGTTCTCTGGTTCACACCCTGCCCTAACTGGCTTTGTTACCTTGCTCCAACACGACATGCTGTGCCCATCCCCACCCTCTGCAGCGCTGTCTGCTCTTCCCTTAACTAGGTCTGGCTATCTCTCAGTGCCCACTTCTTCAAACTGAAAGCCAATAACTCTGACAAATCTAGACCTCTTTGATCCCTTGCTTTCTGTCCTTTTATCCATATTGAAAAATGCCCAGGCCATTACCAGAAACATACTGTAATTATCTCATGCGAGCTCTGTTCCCTCCCAGGGAGAGCTCTCCAGTGTTCACTTCTTCTGCCCATGGCTCCTGGGTCAGCGCTCTTAAGAGGAACCTAATAAATACTCCTCTCTCCAAATTTGAGCTGCTGCCAAAGACTGCTTTCAGCCCCCAAACCTTTTTAAAAATGCATTCCTTCCTCTGCATCTCCAAAGCCACAGCCGTGCCTGGCTTTAATCACTGTGAGACAGACTCATATAACCTTCTAGACCTTCGTTCTTCCTGCCTACCTCAGGGCCCAGGGAAAGCAGAGAGATGCTAGAGAACCATGGCTCTGGATTTCTGGGTTCATCAGGACCATGCTCTGCATAGAGTCCACCCACCTCGGGAGCTGGGCCCCACTCATTCCTGCATTTGCTTGCTATGTCCACTCCCACAGTGAGTTCTCTACCTCCTGTGCTTGCTCATTTGCCTAGACAGCACTTGAAACGTCACACTTATGCCAGCCTGTGCTAACTTGTCCTCTTGCAACCGTTCAACAAACTCTCAGTGTTCTTGTGTTGCTCCAGAACACATCTCCCAATGTGTGGTCAGAACCCAATACAGTAGAACCTCATGAAGAAAGGAACCAGAGTCTTTTCTCTCTGTATGAGCTCTCTAAGACTTCTGTAAGAATTCACCATAAACTCACTAGCTTAAAACAACAGAAATTCATTCTCTCAAAATTTTGGAGACCAAAATCCCAGAATTGGTGTCACTGGGTTCTGGTCTGGAATGTTCCTCAAAGACCTGTGTGCTGAATGCTTGATCTCAATTTGGTGCTGTCAGGAGGTATTGGAACCTTTAAGAAGTGTGGCCCAGTGGGAGTATTTATGCCATTAGGAGTATGCCCTTAAAGGGGAGAGTGTGAATCTAGCCCTTTCTTACCTCTGTTTGCTTTCTGGCTGCCACGTGGTGGTGAGCAGCTTGCGCCACCTCCCCCGCTGAAGGCCAGTGAGGGGTTGCAACCTCCCAACCTGGAGCCAAGCAACTTTTCTTCCTTTTATGCTGATTATGTTGTGTGTTTGTTACAGCAATGGGAGGCTGACACCCTAAGCCAAAATCAAGGTGTCACCAGGTCCATGCTTCCTCCAGAGACTCCAGGGAACAATCTGTTCCTGCCTCTTCCAGCTTCTAGTGACAGCTGGCATTTTCTGCCTGGTTGCCTTTAAGCACAGCATTGTCAAACCTCTGTCTAAAGGTCTGCTCCTCTTGTGGGCAGTCAAATCACCTACCACTTTCTGCTCACAAGAATGCATCAGGCTGTGTTTAGGTCCCAGTGACACAATCCAGAACACTCTTCCCATCACAAGAGTCTTCACTTAATCACCCCTGGCCAGCTGCCCAGCACTTAGGTGACTGACTCCCTAGAGGGGAGGAAAAGAGGCAGTAGCTCTTCCTCGTGCATCACAAGGCCATGGCTGATACCCCCACAACAAGGATAGAGTGCTGGGAAACAAGCAAAATAATCTGAAGGCCATGAGATCCTTGAGAAAGGAAGACCCAAGTCCCCGGTCAGATAACTATGCTGGATAGCTTTAGTTGTCAACTTGACATACCTGGGTTGGGGGATCCTCAATTGGGGAATTGTCTCTATTGGTCTGGCCTATTGCCATGTCTGTGGGACATCTTCTTGATTGTTGAGTGATGTGGGAGGGCCCAGCCCACTGTGGGTGGTACCACTCCTGGGCAGGTGGGCCTGTATTATATAAGAAAACAGGTTGAGCATGGACCAAGGGAGCAAGCTAGTAAGCAGCGTTCCTCCATGGCCTGTGCTTCAGCTCCTGCTTCCAGGTTCCTGACCTGAGTTCCTATCTTGGGCTCCCTGATGAACTGTGACCCAGGAGATGTAAGCCAAATAAACCCTTTCCTCTCCATGTTGGTACTGGTCAAAGTATTTTGTCACAGCAATGGAGAAGCAAACTAGAACAATAGTGATCATCACAGAAAAAAGCAGCAGCAATACTGGTGATATGTGGGGGAAGGAAGCCTATATACTGCTGCTAAGTGTGTAAAGTACGCAGCCATTGTAGAAACCAGTATGGACATTACTTAAAAAACTAAAAATAGAGCAACCATATAACCAGCATGGTGGCATATGCCTGTAATCCCAGCGTTTGGGAGGTGAAGGCTGGAGGAGCAGGAGTTGAAGACCATCCTCAGCTATACAACAAGTTTGAAGCCATACCAGGATACATGGGATGGGACTCTATTTCAAAAAACCAAAACCAAAACAAACAGCTACACTATGATCCAGCTGTACTATTCCTGGGCACAAGGGACTCTAAGTCAACATTTAGTAGAGATACTTGCACATCCATGTTCATTGCCACAATGGTCACAATAGCCAAGCTATATATAATCAAAATTACTCAGCCCCAAAGAAGAACAAAAATATGTCATTTTCAGAAAAATGGGTAGAACTGAAGTTTATCGTGTTAAGTGAAATAAGCTAGGTTCAGAAAGATAAATAAAGTGTGTGTGGAATTTGTAGTATTTTTTAAAAGAAAAAAGACATGAAAGTAGAAGGAGGACCATTTGGGAAGAGGAAGGGGACCAGTGGTGGAGGCACAAGAGAGGGTGATGGGGTGACTACGATTTGTGTACATTATATCTATGGCTGGAAATTCGTAGTGAAACCCATTATTTTATACAACTAAATAGAAGAAAAAAAATAATGGAAGGACAGAAAGAGGAAGGATGGAAGGAAAGGAAGAGAGAGAGAGAGAGAGAGAGAGAGAGAGAGAGAGAGAGAGCGCTAGCCTGCCCTCTGGGTAACTGTCTTTACTTTATGGTGAGTTTTGGTGAAGAGTAGACAATTAGGTGGACGTGTGATTGGACAAAATGGATATGGCCTAAAGATGATGCACCAAGAGCCAAGGCCTGCCTACTTAGGTTCTCTGGCCTCTAGATAGAAGGCAGACACGGGTCAAAGAAGGGTCTTAAGATCTACCCTCAAGGAAGGCAGTTGAGAGAATTCCTGTGGACAGTTCTCCTATAGAAAGTTGGGCCAAGGTCGAAGAGGTTAGGACCTCAATGGGGAGGGGGCAGTTTTCAATCTATTATACTCCCCAGATGTCCTAGGACCTTGTTAGCCACACCATACTGTTGGACTATGCTGAGCATATTGTCTTTACAGACAGTAATTAGTTTGCATTAATACTATTGGTTGCTTGGCCCTGACTATAGAATTTTATCCCAAATGAATGACACACCATTAGCTTTAAATCACTGCTCCAATTCTGTTGAGATCTTCTTAGAGCCATCAATCAAACATTTGGGGTTTAATCAAATCTGTAAATTTTAAAGCTGATAAGTACTTGTTTAGTTTTATCTATGATCAAGATGCTTCATAGGCCTGAAAGCAGAACCCTGTGGCACATCACCAGAAACCTCTCTCAGAGTTCCAGTAAGCCTCCCTCCTCTTGTCTTGTCCTGTCTCTCCTCACTGGATCCTTAATGATATATGTGTCCCACTGGGTAGGAAGAGGAATTAATGATTTCACATTTATCACACTTCATTTCATATATTCCAAATCCTTTTAATTCCTTACTTTTGGATCAATTCTGACAAATCTGGTGAAACATTTGACACCACATGGAGCTAGGATGCAGGATGATGGGTCTCAAATTGACAATAGAATCTCCTTGTTAGAGGGCTTGCTGGAGTAGGTTACTGCTGCTCTCTGCAGAGTTTGAGTGGGGAGGTTGAGGACAGTGAGAATCTACAGGGTCACACACTCCTTCTAATGCAGATGCAACTGGTCTGGGAGCCTGGCTTTGTGAGCTATTGCTGTAAAATGCAGTTCCATTATGTCCTCAGAAAGCAAAGCTATCAGAACTTCACTGCTTCATCTACAAATTCTAACCACAACAGGGGTTTGAAATTTGCTAAATAACACTGGCATGCTGCTGGCAGTCTTCAGTATTAGCTTCAATAAGATAAGTAATTCGATCACCAATATGAGGGTTAAAAGCCACTTCCCCTTCTTCCATTATTGACTTCTAATTATTCTATGAGCTCTCAAATTAACAATATGAGTAAACACTTGCTGGCCTAAGGGCTTAACACAAAGGTTGAAGACCATGAGCTCTTGTCACCCAAATCATGGAGGTTTAGAAACCTCACTCCCCACCTGTATTTTGGGGACCCCTGGGCTCTAGTACCTCTTTTCTCCTTGAAGATTTCCCAGGGAAGTCATTTCCCCGTGTGAGGCTGTACTGCCCATCCTGACCCTTCTTGGGGACATTGGAGGATAGTCTTCATTGCTGCCAAGCACTGAAGAAGAGATTTCCTCTTAGGCAGGCTTGGCTAGGAAACTGCTATCTGACTTCACTTCTCTATTCTTTCTGGTTTTTCCATACCTCATCCTTGTTGATTTGATTTTAAAAAGATGTATCTGTCAATGACTGGTCATGCAGTAGAGTACTCATCTACCATGCCCAAAGTTATGGATTCAACTCATAGCACTTGAAGTTGTCAATTTACTTTGCAAAGTAAGTAAATTAGATTCATGTTATCAGCCTCTTTCTCTTGCATTGCTTAGAAACATCTGCTCACTTGTTGGCCTTATGTAAGATTCTACTAGGCAGCATGGTTGTCCACCTGAAGAATAATTAGGGGAGAAGGAAGGTCCATGTCTCAGGGGCTGCCTGAATGGATGGCTGAAATTGCCAAGCACTTTACACATTTATATATTTTATTTAGGTAATGTCTTAGTTTGTTTTTCAATTGCTGTGACAAAACACTTTGACAACTTCCAACTTGGGGAGGAAAGGGTTTATTCAGCTTACATCTCCTGGGTCACAGTTCATCAGGGAGTCCAAGGTAAGAACTCAGGGCAGGAATCTGGAGGCAGGAGCTGGAGCACAGGCCATGGAGGAATGCTGCTTACTGGCTTGCTCCTCTGTCCCCTGCTCAGCCTGCTTTCTTATGCAACACAGGCCCACCTGCCCAGGGGTGGGCAGGCCCACCACCCACAGTGGGCTGGCCCCTCCTACTTCACTCAACAATCAAGAAGGTGCCCCACTGACATGGCCACAGGCTAGTCCAATGAAGGAAGTTCCCCAATTGAGGCTCCCTCAACCCAGGTGTGTCAAGTCAACCCTAAAGCTATCCAGTACAGATAATAATAAAACACAAGTCTGGTCTATGCAGTGGACTGGATGGGTGTTACTCCAAATTCATGTTATAACTTAGCCACCAAAGTTATAACGTTCAGAGGTGGGGCTGTTGGGAAGTGTTTGTGTCATAAGGGCACAGTTCTCATAAAAGAGATTAGTGTCCTTACAGAAGAAAGCCTCCCTCTCCAACTAGGTAAGAACACAGTTACGAGTCACCATCTATGAAGTAGAAATCCATCCACCCTTCACTATACACTGACTCCAATTTCTAGAACTCTAAGAATAAATTTCTGTTCACAAACCAACTGGTCTATGATATTTTGTTATAGCAGCTGGATTAGGGCTGCCAGTTCAACACTTTTTTCAGAGTTTGTGTTTCCTTCAAACCAAATAAATAAAAACCTTGGGAGTTAGTTCAATACTGCCTTAATTGAAACGCCTATTTCTTGATTCTGTCATTTGTTCCTCTAGACCAAAGCCATTGTGAAGACTGGTGTCACATAATCGACAAATTTAAAGAAACGACCTGCATTTGTAGCACACTTACCCTTGCCACAGTACTCATGATTCTAGAAGAGAGCCAGCCCTGTTCCTTCTGCCCGGCTGTTGGTTACTAACTGGAGGGGCTGCTTGATTGCTACTCCAGTGGCGTGGCGCTCTTTCTGCCCTTTCCAGGCTTAGCGGGTCTCCCTTTTTATTGCATCTTCTCTCTTTCCCTCCTTACTCTGCGTGGACCAGGTCACTGAGACTGTTGAAGCGCACCATGGGAAAATCCCCAGCTCCTCAAAACCAGGGAAGAGTTTGGCAGTCCTAAAATCCCTGGGGAAGCGAATGAGAAGCTGCGGCCGCCAGGGGGAGCCCTGCCCCCGCCTGGGGACCGGCTCCAGGCGTGGGCTCTCCTGAACTGCCAGGCTCCAGGTAACCGCGGCTCAGACTCCCTGTGATGGACAGGGCGGCGCGGATCACGAAGTCACTAATGGCCCCGCCGCCCTTCGCCGGAGGAGGAAATGGCCCTGCCGGGGCATCGATCTTGGAAGAGACCGAGCTGGCGCTGCGGTTCCAGGGGGGCCGCCTACACCGTATGCCCTCCGGTGTCCAACCCTGCAACCCTGCAGCTCCCCTCATACTTTCTCATGACTTTTACTCTTAAAAAAGTCTGTTTCTAAATTTTCAGCTGTGGGGAGGGGCACGCTGTCCTCAATAAATCCATTTTATTTGGGCTTTTAGAATCATAGGCGGTTATGTTAGAAATGGTTCTGGGGTCCCAAGAAAATGACCGCATAATCCAAATCATTTGGGCAACGTAAAGAGTTTTATTTCTGCAGCAGGGTGTCAGGCCACTCTGAATCCAGCAAGCCCACCTTGTTAAGATGGCCTCTCCCTTTCATATCTAAGAGAGCTTGGCTGTCCCTCCTTAGCTGAGGTCTAGCAGCACAATCTAAACCAGATTGGCTAATTTAAAGGGGGAAGGAGGCATTTTAGTAAGAATCTTTAAAATTTAGGGATGTGGAGTTTCATTCTGCAGCCAGAGTCATAAAAGTAGAGTGTGAGTGAGGGTCCTGGAACCTCAGCCAGAGTCATCAAAGTAAGGGGCGCGGGTTGTGGATGAGGAAACAAACTACAATGCTGCAAGTTCCCATCGACATGTTCAGAAATAAACAACACTAAGGAAAACATTAGCTCTGTAACACTTTAACCCCATGCAAATATTACCCTATGAGTCAAGGACTCACAGCCCAGGAGTCAACAGGCCATCTACTGGGGAGAGCAAAGGAGCTAACACAGCAGATTGCGGTTAATTCTTGAAGCCTCTTAATTTACATTGTGAAGGTAAAACTTCCTTTGAAAGGAGAGAGAGTGTATTTCACTTTTATTTCACACAGTTGGAAGTGACTTTCTCAATGTTCTGTGGGCCTTCTCCCAGGAAATGGACTCCACATATAGGAGGGGTGCCAGAGCTCTTGTCCTGTGTCTCAGGGTTCACATTTCCTTGTACACAGAACGAAGGTGAACAGAGCTTGCTTCAGGCACTCAGCCTGGTGTGACCAATGTCCCCTCAGTGTCCCAGCACTGACTCAGCCTGAGGAGGAAATGGTTCAAGAACTAGATTAGTCAACCAGGCCTGCCATAATGTGCCAGATTGTGTGGTTTAGACAAGATAAATATATCTCACTGAGTTTATTTCAAGTTCACAAGGTTGAAAGACCAAGATCAAGGTATAGGCAGAGCTGGTTTCTCCCAAGGTCTCTCTTTTGGGCTTCTCTCTGTGTTGATTTTTCTTTTGTGTTTGCACATATTTGTGGTCAAAATTTCCCTAAATACACCATTCAAATTGGATAGGGGCCCACCTTAAAGACTGCATTTTAACTTCATTAGCTCTTTACATATCTCATCTCCAAGTTCCATTCCAAGTGCTGAGGACTTCAACATATGAATTTTGGTGGGAGGAGGCTGGTACCATTCAGCCCCTAACAGAGGTCTAAATAAGTTTTAGATGTATGATACCACACCCTGAAAAATTTTGCAGTACATTCCTATTTCATATGCAAATAGGCAAATGTTTATGCGTGCACATAAACATCTTTCCTAAAAACAGTCATCCCAAGAAACGTCTAAATGCTCTGTGTATTGTCTATTCATTGTTTTAAAAGTCATGAGTTCCTGATTTGGCTCAAGAAAAGTCATGTGTGAAATCCAATAAATGAGAAGTAAAGCATTTTAGAAAAAATGTCTATCTCAGAGGCCAATATTTTTCCTATCAAGTCTCATGATTTTTTATGAAAACATGTTTGCAGGAAAAGATTTAAGTTGGAGAGTGTAGTACAGACTAGTGGACACTGGGTGGCGCCTGGGTAGAGGCAAGAAGGAGACAAAATGCAGGACTGCAGGCTCAGCTCAGGCTCTTGATCTGGTTTGAATGAAATTTATTCAGTCATTCTTGAAGTTGGATTTCTTCAATCAAAATTAAACCTACCGCTCTGACTCTACTGAAAAAGGTGTGTGTGTAGTATGTATTTTAGTGATCATAACTACATCAGGTGAAATGGTTATTCTTCTAGGAGGTTTTTTGCTTTATCTGAAAATTGGCCAAATCTCTTTCCTTTGTTCCCATAAAGCCATGAGCCTCTCAGCACTCCTTCCATAGTGACTGAGCAAAGCCCTGTGTCTCTATCAAACATATTGGTCTTCCTATTTGCAGAGGATGCTGTCAATTGAACCTTAGAGTATAATGTTAGCAAAAGAGATGAAAAAGTGTGTGTGAAGTAGAATGCTTATTATACCCAGGTTCCCAGTCAGGATGTTGTTGCAAAAACAACCCGGCAGAAACAACCCGCTAGGATTCTCAGTCACTTGTTCTCCAGGCTATTGTTTGGGGAATGGGAGACTCTGGATGACAAAACTCTGTCTCCTCTATCTAGCTTGCTGGGTGAAGCAAGGCAGGACAATGGGTGATTCATGCAGAGCTGAAATGCTGTCCTGAACTCTCCCTGGCCAGCTGGGCCTAAAGTCATGTGGGGGCTTGACTCAACACCAGCTGTCCCTCCATGTAATTTGTTCATTGGGAAAAGCTGCATTCTGCATTGGTTCCCAGTCCGGGCTCTACATTTTACAACACATGTTGGATTGTCGTCAATGGCCCCTCCCCTGATGGTCATCCTCTGGCCTTCTCCTCCCAGCCCAGAGCCTAAAAGGATGCTCTCTGTGAAGTGGTCCTGTTTCTGCCTCCCAGCTTCCAGATTGAGCACTGCATGGAAGAAAGAGGTGAGGGTGTCTGTTCCTGTGGTTCCTTGCTGGCAATGGCAGGTCCTTCTGGGCCATAGCTCCCACCAGCAGCCCAGTCCCTGCCAGAAGCCCTTACTGGTTTGCTCTAACACCATCTTCTGCACAGGCCTCTTGAAGCTTCAACAGAAAGCAAGTTCCTACACTGCCACCTGGAGTTGGCTTGTTTATGCCTGTCTAGTTCTGTAGACAATGTCTTCATTAATTCTCTCTAGTCAGCTCTTGAAGGTGCTGACTCTTTCCTGCAAGTCTTTGATTGATTCATACACCCAGCAAACTGGAGCTCATAGCTGATCATTTTTGCAACTCCATTTCTCTTTTTAAAATGGGAGAATTAATACCTGCCTTATTGGTGAGGATTTACTGTAGTAACCACTATAAACCAAGTGACATCCAAAAATATTAATTTACATGTAGAAACTTCTGTTATCAGCAAATGAGTTTCATGGGTTAGGTACATGATCAATGTTTTCATTCATTTATGTTGATTTTTGCCACGAATGGGTGAATTGATGAATTCATTCGTGCTAAAGCACCTCAGAAATTTTGTGTAACAGGTCAATGATTGCAAGCAAACACCATGGCCCTGGTCATAGATTCTGAAGCCAGACTGCTTGCAAGGGAACCTCTTGTAAGTGTCAGGTGATCTGTCTGTACCTCAGGGTTGTTT